TAATATGAACATAATCCTGACTAAAGACTTTTACCTAACTTTGCAACCCAAAGTTACTGTTTACAATGTAAACAAGCTCACTGAGCTATGTGCTCCTCCTGTGACCTGTGCATATGACCCTAATCTCTCAGAAACCTCCACTCAAGATAATGTATGAATGTATGTATGCATGCTTTACATATCAAAGCACTGAAAGCAGCATGCTTATCTCATTGAAAGCAATGAGAGAAATTGATAAGTTGGTTTGTAGTTGTGTGTGTAATATTCCAGTCCTAGGGATCAATCGGCAAGATGTTCTGATAAGGGTGGGTTCTATCTTCTACTTCCCCATCTACTTTCATGATGCAGATACTGTTTCAATAAAAGAATGAGCAAAGCCCTGACTTGGGAGCACAGTTCTGAGAGACATCTGAAGGAATTAGGGCTCGAAGTTTGGGTCTGCTCTTGACCTTATGAATGCTAAGATAGAGGCTGTTTTTTTCTTAAGGAATAACCATAATGTGGTTATGGTTATTCCCACATACATACACATAATAATAATAATAATAATAATAATAATAATAATAATAAAACCTCAAACAAAATGGCAAGGGGTTTGGGTGCAGAGTTCACAGGTGTGGATGGAGTAAAGTATCTAGAAGCAACACACACAGGTGCAGAAAGTGCTGCAAGTGAAACAGCTCTGCTGGAACTGGGTGTGATACACAAGAGCACAGAGGACTGAAGAAGAGATTCTAATGATGGGAGAGACCTGATGTAAGAGACCCATGTGCAAAGATGAGTGGAACAGACTCAGGGAGTGTGGCAATATAAAGCAGCAAGCTGAAATGATCGTTTATAAATGATACTCCTAAATGTTTGTCATTATTTAATGGATAGTTTATTACTTACACACCCTATAAAGTAATGAAATTCAATCTAGTCTGCTTATTCAGTAGCTGACTCATAAATAATCTACTACACATCAGCATAGTTAATAGATACCTCTAATTTAGTATGATCAGATCAAATAAAAAGTTTTAGTTTCCTGTTTCCCAGTTTCAGTGATTTTAACACATGACAACACAACTCATTCAGTAGCAGAAGACAGAAACTTCGAATTATTTCTCCCTCTTTTTCCCCCACAATTTGGATTTACCTTCAAAATACATCTCTTTTTGCTTGTTTGTTTTTGAGATTGGGTCCAGGCTGGCTAGGAAGTCCTCACGTAGCCAATAATGATCTTGAACTTGTGGTTCTCATGCCTCCACTTCCTGAGAGCTGGGATTACAGGCCTGTTTGGTTTCTGAGGTGCTGGGATGGAAGCCAGGGCTTTGTGCTTGTTGGATAATCACTCTACCAACTGAGCTGCATTCCCAGTCCATTTAAAACTTATCTAAATCTAATCAAGCACCCATCTCTTCCAGTACACTATCTCCATCTTTCACCTCGATGCCGGACAAGTCCCCTCATCAGTCTTCTTGCTCTAACTTTTGTCTTCCCCCAGGCCAGGATCTGTACAGCAGTCACACTGAGTGAAATACATGAACCAAAGCAGGCCCTCCCCATCCAGGAGCCTCCAATAGTTTCCCATCACACTCATAGGAAATAGAAACTTCCTTCTCAGCCTAGAAGGCCCTGGAATTGTTCCTCATTCCTCCTCTCACTGACTCACTTTTCTCTCCCTCCAGTCTGTGTGCCTTCATAGTCTTCCCATGATCACACCAAACTGTGTTCATGTCAGGCTGTCCTGTCACCCTTCCAGTTCCCTCTGCTAGAATGGCCACTTTCTAGACCCCAGCAGGATCCTATAGCTCCTGAGCTTCACCTGAGCATCTGCTCAAATATCATGTCCTTAAAGAGCTGTTTCCTCAGCACCTTGCTAAAATTGCATTCCAAGTTTGATGCCTTTTAAAGGTTTAGATCCTGTATTACTAGCAGCTTCTTGCCATTGAGATACTGTGTCCCTTTGCTCCTTGAATAATTCCTGGCATCTCTTGGTACTCAAGAATGTCTGTCTTTCTTTCTTTTGTTTTATTTTTTGAGACAGGATCTCACTTTATAGCCCGAGCTGGCCTGGAACTTGCTATGTAGACCAGGCTGGCCTTGAAATCACAGAGATCACCTGCCTCCAGAGTGCTGGGATTAAAGGCATGTGCTACAATGCCCACCCAGCTCAAGAATTTCTTTCTTGACTTTAACTAGTACTTGACAATCTGCCTCTGTTTCAGTACAACTCATTAAATAACCCTCTAGTTTTTGAATCTTTTCACTTGATGATCCAGTGGTTCTCAGAAACACTTGAGGAATTTGTGGAAACACAGATTAATAGTGTGAAACCTCAGAGTTTCTGATTCTGAAGATGTGGGGTGGAGTTGGAGAATTTGCACTCTAGGAAGTTACATGATGCTGCTGGCATTGCTGGGGTAGGCACCCGAATTTTAGATGCAAGAAAGATCTGAGTCAAGTGCCCTAATCCCTTTATTATTATTTATTATCATTATTGCTATTATTATTGCGATTACCAGCTGGCATTAACGGAAGCCAGTGGCTTGAGGAGCTCTGTTCCTCACCACAAGAACCATCTACAAAGCCACTGAGGACCAAGGTTTCCACTTTCCAACTGTTAGTATTCCATGATGTACCATAGCTCTCGGGCTCTGAAAAAAAAAGTTTCTAAGCAGGAAGTGTTTGGAACACTATACATGTTAATGCCAAAGTTCATAAAGGAAATGTGTCTCACCCTCATGCTCTGCCATGCTGTCAGCCAGTGCTGCAGCTTGGACAGTATATACAGTGCATCCGCTTTGGAAAGCTGTGGTTCACCACAGGCAAGTCAGCAGGCCCTGCCTGGCAAATGCAAGTCTGGGCATTGACTGATGTTGAACTTCTGCCCCAGGGCTATTCACAGGGAGCTGAAATAAGATCCAGCTCTCCAACGCAGAAAGGGCTTCTTATTTACTACAATGGATCATGGCTGTGAAGGACTGAAGTTTCTAAATGCTTTCTTATGTCCATGAGCATGTGTGTACGTGTTTGTGTGTTTGTGTGTGTGTGTGTGTGTGTGTGTGTGTGTGTGTGTGTTTCCACTCAGATGAATCAGCCTGCTTTGGGGCTTCTATTTTTCTTTTCTACACAAAACTTTACATGTACATTAAATGGAATGACAATTCTGAACTCTATTTTTTTTTCATTTTGCTTTCTATTAATCTCCAAATAAAACCATCAACGCTATCTCTGAGAATGCAAGTATCTTAGGGGTGTGACCTGTTCTATGGTTATTTTTCACTATAATTTACTTATTAGGGGCTAAACAAACTCTTAGAGCATTTTTGAAGTCAGGAAAAAGAAGTTTTACAGGAAATAGGGTGTAGGTCAGGGAAAAGTATGGGGTAAAAAGTACATCAGGCAAGACAGCCTTGGGCTGGAGCTGTTCTGCATCTTAACCATGTAATGCTCATAGACCTATGAATAGAACCATATGGAATTACACCATACACATGCATGTACACACACACACACACACATACACACACACATACACGCACTACTCTGAAGATTAAACTGAACAAGTCTGAATAAGGTAGATTGTATGAGCACCAACATCCTGCTTACGGTACCCTGCAGAGTTACCCAGGACAGTACCTTAGAAGTAAAGGAATGCACAGGATCTCTGTGCTCTTACAAGTGTGTGAGAGTCCACAGTGATCTCAAATGAAAAGTTTGAAAAGGAAGTGCTGTAGAGAGGGCAGTGGAAGGACATGAGGAGTTCAGAGGAGAGGCAATGACTCATGTCTCTCTAAAGGAAATGAAAAGAAGACAGGGTAGTGTTGAAGGAAAACTTCATTCTCTTCCTGGCCTAAAATTATGCTATGAGAAGAATATTATTTTTCACCAACTCATAAATTCTAGAAAGATCATCCGGCAGATACTGAAAGCAATAATAACAGTTGTTGACATTTATTAAATACTGCCACGTGCCAGTTTCTTTGCATAAATTGTCACAGCTGATCCTCTCCAATGCTCCTCTGGGCAGGTGCTGTTATGACACTCATTTTGCAGATGAAGGAAGCAAGGCACAGAGAGATTAAGAAAGCACTAGTAACTGGCAGAGTCTCTGTTTTATATGCTCAGTAACAAAATCAGTGTCAAGATAGAGGGCTCACTCTGTGCTGGGTAGACTTACCTAGAGCCTTTCCTCTTCGTATATGTATGTACATGAGTTTATGGGTGTGCAGGTGCACGTGTACACGTGTGCACATGTTTGTGGAGGTCAGAGGATGACACCTTGGGTGTCATTCCTTAGGCATTATTTTCATAACAAGGCCTCTCACTGGTCTGGAGGAATTTGCCAAGTAAGTTAGGTTGGCCCGCCAGCAATTCCCAGAGATCCACTTGCCTCTCCTTGCCACCACGAGGATTACATTGTGGGTTCTGGGATCGAATTCATTTTCTCATATTGTAAGGTAAGTACTTTACTAACTGACCTATTTCCCCAGTCTGAGCCTCTCCTCACCATACCATTATTTCTAGAAAAAATTTAAAATTTTTCTATCATATTTGTTTACAAACCACATTTCTTTACTGTGTCCTTACTGTCAGTCACCTTACATAGATTTTCATGTTAAACCTCCTCAATGGGCTGCTCTTCAAGCTCTGAGCTCTTTTGCCTCCCACTCAGAAAGCACCTCAGAGTCACTAGATTTTCTCCCAAGGCTGGATGCTCCTAAGGTCCATCCACCAAATCAACCCAGGAGACCTCATCCTTGTAGTCTGTCTGGTGTGTAACAGAGCTCTATCTTGCATATTCACTTTACAAAGCGCATGTGAGAATTTCCTATGTAAATGTATTGACAACTCAAGACAAGGACAATTCTTTTCACTTCCATGGCTCAATCCAGGGCAGCAGTATGTCCAATTCCACCCTCCCTAATGATGCTGGGAATGAGGTTTGCTTTTTGAAAAGCTGCAGGAAGCAATAACAAATTAAAAATGGGCTGCAACCAGCCCATTTCTCTCACCTTTTTGTCACTCAGAGAACCTGGAAGAGGTTGGAGGACTTCAGTGGTCCCTGATCTCACGGAGATAAGGGGACACGTCTCTATTACTGTCTCCCTGCTATCAGAGATGATGACAGGAAGTCAGGAAGCACTTGCCAGGGGAACTGCTAGCAGGCTGATGGCTGGGGTTGCAGCTCGGATTCCTCTTGCTTTCTCTTTTCTGCTGGGGCGCTCGCCCGCTCCGAGCTGTTCCGTGTCCGGGTTTTGGGGGTACCTCGTGCCCGCCAGCGGCCTGTAAACAAGAGGGGCGCAGACAGCCAGAGCCTCGATTGGCACAGCCAGCCTGGCCTCCCAGCCCAGCTCTCGAGCTGCCAGTTTACTCCGCAGTACGAGCTAGAATTTGGCGCCACAGCTGGGAGTGCGGCTTTTGTTCACAAGGAAAACAAGCGCTTGAATGGCTGTGCTGCCAGCGCCCGACCCAGCCCAGGCAGGCAGAAAGGAACCCGCCCTACGAGTGCCTGTGACCTGACATTAGAGCCCCCTCCCAACCAGCAGGCGGAGACTAAGTGCAAAGGATGTTTACCCCAGCGACGCCCAGCTCCAGCCCAGAGGTGAGCACTTTGCTGCAGAATCCCAAGACCTGTCTGCCTGTTAGCTCAGGAGGCAAAGTGTGTTGTCAGGGGTCAACGGCGGCATTTTCAAGACTTCTGTCTCTTCTGCCAGAGAAGTTCTATTCCCTCGGTAACTAAAAAGTTGCCTTCCACCTGGAACGAGATAGAGGATGAATTCATTTGTTCTGGGAGGAAAACCCTGGCGTAAGGTATCATAACCAGGTCATGCAACTAGTTATGAACACACACATGCAGACAGTACTGATGGTAGTTTTGTTTGTTTCCTTCTTTTTTGATAAATATTTTATTACTATTGTTCGTTTGTTTGTTTGTTTGTTTGGTGTGTGTGTGTGTGTGTGTGTGTGTCTACTGTGTGTCTAGGTGAGAAGACAATTTGCCACAGTCTTCTCTCCTTCCACCATGTGGGTACCAAGGATCCAATTCTGGTCATCAGATTTGGAGGAAAATGCTTTTTACCCACTGAACCATCTTGCAGACCCTAGTTTCATTTTTGAATGTGTGGATGCCAGGGACACATCTGGATCCAATCACTAAACACATGGAGAAAAATAATAGATGAATTCCAAAGTCAAGTAGGTTAGAGGTCAGTGTTGTCACTTCAGAATGGATTTTTTGAGGCTCAGCTGTTAAGAACACTGGCTTCTCTTGCAGAGGACCAGGGTTTGATTCCCAGCACCCACATAGCAGCTAACAGTCATTCAGGTGCTCCAGTTCCAGTGGATTTGGCATCCTCTTTTGACCTCCAGGGGCACCGCATGTATGGATATACTTAAGTACAGGCAAAACACTCACATACATAAAAACAAAAATAATTAAGTGCCAATGAAAGGCTGGAGAGCTGGTGCAGCTGTTAAAGGCTCAGGCTCACAACCAAAGTGCCAGTGGAGTAAAAAAAGTCCCACAATTAAAAATTTGTTTTTTTCAGTCTCAAACTTGTTAGAATAAAAGTACCTTTGGCAAAATAAGGAGATTTAAAAGATGGTCATTGACATCTTAATATAAATTAATTTAATTATCTCTTTTTTGAGATAAGGTTTCAGGAAACGGAGAGACTCATCATAATTGCCTTAAATGAGGCTAATGTGACTAGGGAATTGAGTTTTTAATTTAATTTTAATAGCTACCATGTGGGACAGTACAGCGTAAGAATATTTTAAAAGGTGAGTTTGTCCACAAATCTGAAATAGAGACTCATACAAAGTTAATGTAGTAGGAAGCATCCTGGTTTTCATGCTCCTGTGTGTAATCTCTTCCCTTTGAGCAAAGCCCAAGGGTAAGGACATGGCTATGGTGGTGGAATGCCACTTCCAAGACTAGGTTACAAGGAGCCCTGGTATGGTCTTGACCATCCTGGTTGGCTCTTCACCAATTGGTACTCAGGGAAGTCAGCTGTCATGCTGTCAGCTGTTCTATGGAAAGAACCTGCTGGCAGAGGACTTTCATCCCCAGCTACAAGCAGCCAGCAATGACCTGGGCCCTGCAGATCAATGGCTGTCAAAGAACCAATGGCTGCCAATAGCCACAATAACATGCCAGAACATGGAATCTCCACCAGCCTGACCCTGAGGTGGCTGCAGCCCTGGCTGATGCTTTGATTGCAGCTTTGTGCTAGAAGCATCCACCATGTCTGATTTCCACACTCAGAACCTGTGTGAGGATAGGTGTCGTTGTCAGAAACCACTGGGTCTGGGGGCAGTTTGTCACTCTGTGCTTTTCTTTTTTTATTTAATTAATCAACATTTATTTTTCTCTGCTATAGCAAGCATCCAGAGGTGAGTGGTCCTAGACACTGTTTTATCAGCTCAACACTGACACTGATGATTCAGGCTTGCAATAGCCACAATCTTTCGTATATATATGTGCATACTGTGTTCATGTGGGTGTTTCTACATGTATGTGCATGTGAGCATGCATATATGCATATGCATGTGGAAATCAGAGGTCAATGTCAAGTGTCTGTCGCAATCACTCTTCACTATATTTTTTGAGACCGGGTCTCCCTCTGAACACAGAGCTCATTAATTTGGCTATGCTGACTGGTCAGTGATCTCCAGGGATCTGCCTCCTGCCGTCTTCCCTCATAGCACCACAGCACTGGTGTTGCAGACATCTTGCCTGCTACATCCAGCAGCTTACATAAGTATTGGAGATCTGAACTCAGGTTCCCAAGCTTGTATGAAAGACACTTTACCAGCTGAGCCATTTCCCCAATCCCACAATCTTCCATTTTTAGCTATTGACTTTTTGTCCTCAAAATTACTACTCAGCAGTTCTTCTTAATATGGTCAAACTCATCTGAAATTCTTGTGTACTAGCCAGGGCAAAGGGTGGTTTGGATAGGGATTGAGAGTACATGTGATGACTCTGGTCCTTAGGGTTTAGGAGGTGATAAGACCTTTAAGAGGCATGGTCTACAGGAGAGCCTAGGTCATTGGGGAATGCTTCCTCAGGAGGGATTACCTGGTCCCAGGCCCCTTAGCTTCCTGTGTTTCAAACTATGATCCTTTCTCCAAACTCACATCTCTAATTTTTCATGGGCTGTTGCCAGGGCCAGGACTATGCTGTTTCAGTCTTTAGCTTCCTGAACTGAGCTCAGTATACTTCCCTTTTTATAGAGTTAACCTGCTTCAGCTATTTTGTTATGGTAATGAAAAATGGATTAGTGCAGGCCTCTACAGATAGAAAAACCTGCAAACATTCAGGTCTAATGCAATGAAGTTCCTCTCGTGTGACCATTCCAGCATGGACCTCTCCTGGGCAATGCCATCTGACATGTTTAACTTACAGAGGCTCATGTTGCCCTAGAAGTTGCTTCCATTGTGGCTGGGGAGGGGAAAGAGTAGAGTGGCTTTGGAATCTGACTTGAAGATGGTACATGTCATTTCTGGCCCTGTTTTCCTGCCAAGGTAGAATAATCTCTCCTATGGGTAGATCACACTGGGAAACTCAGAGGAAGAGGAAGGTGAATTGGCTTTGGAGTCAGCAGGAGGTTTGGTCACAAATAATATCCTTTAGGGTGGTGTCTTTCTTTCTCCATCACTATGACAAAACACTCTGACGAATACCAACTTGGGGAGGAAAGGGTTTGTTTATCTTACATCTCCCAGGTTGCAGTTCATCAGGGAGCCCAAGGTGGGAACTCAGGGCAGGAATCTGGAAGCAGGAGCTGGAGCACAGGCCATGGAGGAACTCTGCTTACTGGCTTGCTCCCCTGGCCCCTGCTCAGCTTGCTCTCTTATCCAACACAGGCCCAGCTGCCCAGGGGTGGCACTATCCACAGTGGACTGGGCCCTCCCACATCACTCAACAATCAAGAAAATGCCCCACAGACATGGCCACAGGCCAGTCCAATGGAGCCAATTCCCTAATTGAGGCTCCCTCAACCCAGGTGTGTCAAGTTGACACTAAAGCTATCCAGCACAGGTGGACTGTTTCTTGGCTGCTGACTCCTGAAATAACTCTCCCTTGCTTGGGATGATGAATACTGAGCCTTCAGCAATCCTGCTTATCCTCTGGAAAAGGTTTCATTCCATAGATACTACCCTGTTAAATGCTGAATGTTTTAGAGATTGAGAAAAGTATCTGAAAAATGTACAAATGTACCTAAAGTTTTGAGGATGGGAAATTAGTTCACACAAGGTACAGGATGTGTGGTAAGATGACATCCAACAAGGGGAATGAGAAAAAAGAAATCCTGCAACAGTGTACCTGTAAATGCTAAAACAAATTTGAACAAAGTCCTCTTCTTGGGTGGAAAAAGATGTTTCTAGAAGCAGTGAAGTTATTAAATGAAAATCTAAGTGCCAGATGAGTTGTTGGCCAAGGAGGTCTGTGAGGTTCCCCAAACAATGTAGGTATTGCTGTTGGTTGCTCATCAGAATTAAGACCCAATTGCTGAAGAGATTACATACCTTGATAGGGAGACATCAAGCTGGAACTGAGAAGGAAGCTTTCTCCCTGTTAGCTAGCTTTCATAGCTATGGAAGGAGCTATGCAGGCTACTGCTGAAGGGGGTTGTCACCCATAGTCCTGCTTGGCTGCAGACTGTGTGCTACACTATAAACAGGCGGGCAATGTGCCTGCTAGTGCAAAGTGGCACAACTGTTATGGGTGTGACCAAACTACTTCCTGGATTTGAAGCCCAGTGCACAAGAGGGAATTCATGTTTGGTACTGTAAACCATGCCAACTCCCCATCACTGGGGAGGTGATAGGCTTAGTGGGGAAGCTACTGTTGCTGTTTTGCTAAATGGATATGATATGCCTATCAAATCACCTTCTAAGCATTTATGTTTATGCCTATAGACATATTTATTGTTGCTGCCACCCTTGGTCAGAAAAGATTTTTTCTGCAGTGGGTAGCAGTTCCTTTGGAGACTTATCCCTGGTGAAAATGCTGAGAATAAGTGCCTATTGAATGCTAATCACTCCCTCCAGGGCCCAGGGAATGTTGTGGAAGACAGGGAAGAAATACTGTTAGAGCATGAGGAAGAGATAGAGTGTTGTTGAATGACATCTTTGGATACAACTTGTCCATTGCCCTCTTAAACTGTAAGTATCTGTAATTACCCACGGGAGACCTGCACAAGACTGGGCCCACTGACATTCAGGAGGCCCTGAACCCTTCCAAGGCTATGTGGGCTGTTAATGGCTGCCCATGGAGGCTTCTTTGCTGGCATAACCAGTCATAAGTTGCCCTTGCTTCTGTCAGTAACCACCAGGCTGCTGTAAGTAGCCCCAATTAAACTCATTGGTTCACTAAGCTAGACTTGGGAGGAATCTTTTCTTTGGTCTATTGGTGGCCTGCCTGGGTTGAGTATACATTTTTCGACATCTCCTAAGGAAAAATTAACATATCAGCATGGTACCACAACCTGTAATTCTAGCATAACTTGGGAGAAGCCAAGAGGATTAGTAGTTGAGGACCATCCTTGCCACATATTGAGTTCAAGGCCAGTCCAGGTACAAAAGACCCTGTC